CTCTTCTCTTCTCTTCTCTTCTCTTCTCTTCTCTTCTCTTCTCTTCTCTTCTCTTCTCTTCTCTTCTCTTCTCTTCTCTTCTCTTCTCTCTTCTGTTCTCTTTCTATGGTATTTTGTTTGGTGAATTCATCAGTTTCCATGTATTCAGTTATCATCTCTGTGCTGATGATTCTCAGATCTACTTATCCAGCCCTATTCTGTCTGCTGACTTTCAGTCTTTCATCTCCAGCTACCTATTGGACATCTTAAACTCAGCATGTCCAAAACCGAATTCATTCTCTTTCCCCCCAGTACTTCTCCTTTTCTGAACTTCATTATTACTTTTGAGGATACTACTCTTCTCCCCATCAGCTAGGCTCACAACCTAGGTATCATCTCCGACACCTCACTCTCACCTCTCATATCCAGTTTGTTGCCAAGCCCTGTCAGTTTTACCTTCATAACATTGCTCACATCTATTTCCTCTCCTCTGACACTGCTACCACCCTGGTGCAGGCCCTCATCACCTCACACCTGGACTATTGTAGTAGCCCATTAATCTACCTGTTATAAGTCTGTCCTCACTACATTCTATCCATCAGTTGTCAAAGTGATCTTGTTAAAGCACGAGGCTGACCGTGTCATCTTTCCCCCCATCTCCACTCAAGAAACTCCACTGGCTCCCTGTTGCCTCCAAGATCAAATACAAAATCCTTTGTTTGGAATTCAGAGTCCTTTCCTTCCCTTTCCAGTTTTATATTTCCTCACTCAGTTTAATCCAGTGAGGCTGGCTTCTCTATTAGTCATGGAATAAGACTCCAAATTTCCTGACTCAGTGCATATTCATTAGGTTTCTTCTATGCATGGACTTTTCTTTCCTCATCACCACCTCCTGGCTTCCCTGGCTTTCTTCAGGTCCCAGCTGAAACCCCACCTTCTACAGGAAGCTTTTCCCAATTCCCCTTTATTCTAGTACCTTCCCCGTGATGGCTGTTTAAAACTTAGCCAGTGTTTAGCTTGTTTGTATGTAATTGTTTGCATTTTTTGTCTTCCCATTAATCTATGAGCTCCTTGAGAGCGGGACTATCTTTTGCCTTTCTTTGTATCCCCAACATTTAGCACAGTGCCTGGTACACAGTAGGTGCTTAATAAATGTTTATTGACTGACTTTTGAAATATTTGAAGGTTGTCACATGGAAGAAGTATCATACTTGTTATGTTTGGCCCAGGGTGCAGAAATAGGAACCAGATGTGGAAGTTGCTTAGAAGCAGAGAGGAAAAACTCATTTCTGTCGAGGATACCACCATTCTTCAAATCACCCAGGTTCACAATCTCAAAGTCTTCTTTGATTGTTCACTTTTACTCACTCTTTATATCCAATCAATTGCCAGATCTTATTGATTTTACCACAAGACCTCTCACATCCATTGGTTTCTCTCTACTTAATAAATATTATCCTAGAGTAGGCCCTCATCATCTCTGAACAGGTCTGTTGCCCCCAGATATCCATTTCTTAAGGCATTGTACATTAACCCCTTAAGGCAAAAAATAGCACTTTAAGACTGGAGTCTGTTAAGACTAAGTTGGCCCAGGATGTAACTTTATTATGTACTATTCTGGCTATAATGTCATAATTTTCACGATCATAAATTGTCATATCACTTCTATACCATAAACAAACTTATTAGCCCTCCCTCTTCCTTTGGCAAGGGGTGTTTGAAAAGGAAGAGGGGGATCCCTTTTTCTCTTTAACCAATTCATTATTTTGGAATTTCACAACATTTAGCAAGTTCTTTCACAAGGCCAGAGTTTATGACTTTGCCCAAGCAAATGGTTCCAAAGAACCTGGCAGGTTTACAAATAAGGAGATTTTACATGATCATCTTTTTTTTTCTTTTGCTACAAAGTAAGTAATTACTATTCTTCCCTTTTAAAATATACCCAATTAGGGGCAGTTAGGTGGCGCAGTGGATAGAGCGCTGGTCCTGGAGTCAGGAGGACCTGAGTTCAAATCTAGCCTCAGACACATGATACTTAACTAGCTGTGTGACCCTAGGCAAGTCACTTAACCCCAATTGCCTCACCAAAAAAAAATAAATATATATATATGTGTGTGTATGTGTATATATATATATATATGTATGCTTCATAGGTTTTAACATCATGATAGC